ATATTTTTATATACACTCACAATGAAAGTTACGTTTAGTTGCAAAATATTTGTTCTTGTAAGAGCTTAAATACAGTTCCAGTTTTCTCTGTCTTTTCTATAGACTCTTTGCTTTCTTTATGGGATTTCATTTTTTCGTGCTGTTCAACTTAATCTCACAGTTGATGTTTAAGCAAATTGTGCTTCCAGAGCGTATTCCATAGAAGTGCTGAGCACTTGCTGCTCCTACTGAAGACCTTGGATCAGGCCCCGAGTTTGCAAAACTTTGTCATGTATCACTCGGTACGCTGACAGTACGCTAAACGAGCACTTAAAATGAGATTAACACACGGGCAGAAAAAGCTGACAATTTTCATTGTCTCCCCGAAATGTGAAAGGTAGTTGCAATATACTGCCTCATATTAGGCAGTAGTTCAAAATTGGCATTACCTAGGTGTGTGTGTAGATACATGTAAAAGCAATATTTTTAATCAAATAAGTTTATGCATATCATCTATCTTGGTAGTCCTTGTATCATTTTAGTCACCGCTGAATGTGTTTCCCAAGTTAAAATCCAAAGAATTTACAGGAAACACAAATTATTGGGAAATCTTATTAAGTAGCAATTTGTGATTTACCTTATCCATAATGTTACAGTGTAGAGATCTAGAATTGAGCCATCGTTTCATCCCAACAAAGTGAAAGTAAGTGTTAACTTGTCCTTAAATAAAAAGCAGTCCTAGTTCCTAAAACAGATTTGTGCTATCCCATCAAATGGGAACCATTAAATCAGGGATGTCAGACTTCTGACCCACTTGATACATAGATCTCGACCCTATGGCAGATTCAGCTTGTGCTGAATGCAAGCTTTAATTTAAAACAAAGACGATAGTTCTTGAAGTTGCTAAGAAAACCTTTTGAATGCAAATCAATGTGATGATGTCTACTGATCATCTTAATGGTAACTTTTGAAGCTTAATGGTAACACTTAATGGAACAAGATTTTCCGAAAGCTGAGGTAGGCAGTTGTGCATGCAATATGCACATGTATTTGTATGTCCTATTTGTGTACATTTACCACAACTAACCATGCAAATTACCAATTAAATAAAGAGAAGAATTAGCTAAATGAGCTCCATCATTTGGGGCTTTCCCCCTGCCCTCATTGAGTGACACTGAATGCAGCAGTAACTTAATAACGATAGTAAAATTGTAGTTACTATGTAAGGCTGCTTATAGACTAATATTAGATTGTCAGGGGAAGAAATGCTGTGACTCTAGAATAGGATAAGAGACCCTAGCTTTGGTTCACAGCCCATACTTAAAAATGGAACCCAGTCCTCTATGAAGAATGAGTTTGACATGAGTTTATGTATTAAATATTTTTCCTGTACTCATTGGGCATTTGGGAAAACAGATGATTTTGTGCCAGTTTTGTCTTGTGCGTGTTTTAACTCTTGTCTTCTCTTCTGTCACTGTTCCTTTTCTTCAAGTTCTGGCTAGAGGGCTCCCAGAGATGTAAGAAGACCTAGTTGAGAACTTGCTAACAAGAGCAGAATGGAAGGCAGAATAGCTCCAGCCTTAGTTAAATCCTCTGGCTTGGCACAGTCTTCCAAAGTACCTCAGGTGCTATAGACACACTTGCTTTCTTCTAGGGAGGTGTATTGATTTATTACATGTCTTTTCTACAATGTACTGTTGCTAATACGAATTATATTGTAAGTTTAAGAGGATTGGTATTGTAAGGGTTTCTGTGCTCAGACTGTTACTATTGCAACAAAGTATGGTACATGTGTTTCAATAGTTTTGGACAAATCATACTGCAATATGCAGTTGTTAACCTGTTTTGGAATAAACAGAATTGCGTATTCAACCACAATGGGTCAGTACACATTAGCTTGACTATCTGGCTTTCCAGTGTAGAGCTGTTGCTTACTTACGTGATTCCTCAGCTAAACAAGGAGTATGTTAAATTTTTGTGCAAGTCAGGCCTGGTCTACACTGGGGGGGGTGGGAGGATTGACCTAAGATACGCAACTTCTGCTACAAGAATAGCGTAGCTGAAGTCAACGTATCTTAGGTCGACTTACCTCACGGCGCGGGGTCGACTGCCGCCACTCCCCCGTCGACTCCGCTTCCGCCTCTCACCGCAGTGGAGTACAGGAGTCGACGGCAGAGCGATCGGGGATCAATCACTACTCACCGATCTGGCGGGTAGTGTAGACGTACCCTCAGTTGATCTGGTTTGACTAGAATAATAATTACTTTATGTTGAGTAGGGATACATCATAATTCCTGGGTGAGCCAGTGGTTTCTTTCAGTTTGGGAGCCTCTTGATGATTGAATCAGTTGACTACAGGACTGACTTCTTTCAATAACATTATCAACAGCATCATGTCCTTTACAACAATGTCTGTATTAGTTATCCTAGATCAGTGGTTCTCAATTTGCGGGCCACTTGCGGCCCAATTAGGATACAGCTGAAGCCCATGTGACATCCTCAGCGCCATACAGATAGTATATATATTGTGTGGATGTGGCCCACATAACACAGAGAGCTGCATATGCAGCTCACAGTGGTAAACAGGTGAGAATTACTCTGCTAGGGGCTGCAATAACAAGACCCCTGCAGTTATGTTTCAAAGGTGCTACACAATGTGAGTTCTAATCAACTGAACACAGGCTGTCTGAATTCCCAGTGACAGTGATGCTCTTTCAGTGGCTCACGGTGGTTTTGTGCCCACTTCTCCCCTCCTCATTTCCACTAAAGTGTTATTTTAAGGAAAAGAAATGGACTTGGAGTATAGTGTCGCTACAGTGATGGGTATCTTTGTTCCTACAATTTCTGGTTGTGTGCAGACCTCTCCATCCACCATACAGCAGTTACTCCTTTATTTCCTAATTTAGGCAAAGAGTGTTTAAGTCAAGAATCAGCCTTGTGATTTCTCAAGGTGCCAGGGAGAGACAGCTGTTTGTTGTTATTCCATAACCCTAAAGCACACGGATAACTAGTCAGTTTGGAAGGTTGTGTTTAGGATGTCCTCTGGATGCAATGTGTGTTACACAAAGAGTTTTCAGGCTTTTTTGTTTTTATTTTTTAAAGTCCACCTATTGCTGTGCATAGATTGCAGTAGACTCAATACAGTGTAAGTTAGAGACTGACATTACTGTTCTTAATATTTCAGGATGCTACATTCTTCCTAACCTTCTCTGGCCTTTTTGTGTATTTTTTTTCTTTTTAGAGTCTGTGTGACTTTCCCCCCAAAACGGATGTGGATGCAGTGACAGAGAGGAAAAGTACTAACCCTGACTTTGAATTGGTGGGCCCAAAGCATTCAGTAGCCTGTAGTGAGAACCAAATGTCAACTCCACCGGAGTCTTTACAAAGTCATGACTTTGGCACTTCCTCCCTAAGCAGTGAGGAGGAGGAGAGAGCTCCTGTATTCCTTGAGAGCCAGGATGACCTAACATATGAAAAGGGTTATGCAGGTGTGCAAAAGCAGGCAGATGACTCAGATGAGCAGTCTGAGGTGGAGACCCCTACAGTCTCTGTTTCACCTCCACTGCATCCCTGTCAGAGAGAGGAGGAGACAGAGAATGTTGAAGAAAATTATTTTACAAGAGATCCACTTAGAAAGCTAAACGGAGAGTGTCACAACTGGAATATTGATAATGGGTTTCCCACACTCATTCGCTGTTTTCAGGTAGTAACTGTGAGCTCAGAATACCTCCTTTTTTTTTTTTTTTTTCAAATCTTCCTTTTGGTTTTTGGAATGAAATCCCAAACACTGCAGCAAGCATATGCTACAAATCTGTGATGAGGAATTACGTTTATATGGCCTGAATTCATTCCCCAAACTAATCAGCCAGTTAATCTCCTGCAAAGTCTGTGCAACTGAGCCCCCTCCAATTTAGCCTTGCATAAAGTGACAGACATGCCTCAATGAAAAATGGCCTTTGTCTTCCTTTGACTCAAGTGCCCTGTTTTCTAAATAAAAGGAAACATGCAGACTCCAAAGACCACCACGTTTAATTTTATTCCACGGAATTGGGTGGTTATCATGGGGTTTTGGTGTGTTTTACTGCTATATTGCAGAAAATTTGGAAATCAGGCTAAAGGAGATGCTGCAGGGCTGAAACTTAATGTAGCACAGCAAATTCTAGCTCTGTCAAAAGTCTACATTTACATTGTAATTGTCATGAGATTTCAAATCCCACCATCACCATGGCAGAGATTTTTGCCTGCTTCAGTGTTGCTGAATATCAATCATTTATGTCGAAATAGATGACCACTTAACTTACTAACAAGGTGGCAACTTGTCAGGCTTTGGGAAGGTGAGCAGAAACTGATTGAGCTGGGAAAACCTTGTGGGTCTTTTGCTAATATTATCTTCTCTTTTGATGAATTACCAGGTGGTGGAAGAACTGATTTTTCCAGTTTCTCTTTCAAGACACACACAGTTTTTTCTTTTAAAGACTTGTATCTGACATTGATTTAATAAAAGCCAGTGAACCACAGATTGATGAGTATTTTAACCATGGAAATGGCTTTGTTTGCATTCAGAATAAAGCTTCAGTCGGCCATGATTAACTTTTTATTTGTCCAGTCTCTACAGCATCAATTTTGATATTTCAGTACAGTCAGAGTCATGGTCTGACTGGCAGTTTTCTATGGGGTCCTCATCCTCGTAATTAAGAAGCTAATTAGTATAGTACATTCATAGCAATCTGACTGTTTAACCCTTGATTACTTTCTTGGTCTAACTTAAGACAGAACAGCGCTGTTACCAGAGAGGATTTCACTGTGTGTTTTAAGCCTCAAATTTGACTTTGCTGGTTCAATGCTTGATCCTCTGAAACATGTATCAAACTCTCTGTAGGGCTAAAATGTTCAAGATTTCTAGGCTGAGTCTTGGTTTCTCTATCTCTGATGTTTTTATCAGATCAATGTCAGAGCGTTGACCAGAAATATCATCAGTATGTAACTGTGCTCCGTGTTTTTTTTTTAAACCTCTTTCATAGCCACCCCTAGTGAAGACTCAGACAGTTACCATCTCTGACGTGTCCAATGCTGTGAAAAGTGAAATTCCAACAAAAGAAGTTCCCATTGTTCACACAGAGACCAAGACCATCACCTACGAAGCTGCACAGGTAGAAATGTTTTGCCTAACTCACAGTGGATTTAATTAAATGTAACATTATGTAAGTGCAAAGTTTATTAATCCTTAGAATGAGACCACATAAGAACATTAGAATGGTCATACTTGGTCAGACCAATGGTCCCGCTAGACCAGTATCCTGTCTTCCAACAGTGGCCAATGCCAGGTGCTTCAGCAGGGATGAACAGAACAAGCAGTCATCAAGTGATCCATCCCCTGTTGTCCAATCTCAGCTTCTGGCAGTCAGAAGCTAGGGACACCCAGAGCATGGGGTTGCATCCCTGATCATCTTGGCTAATAGCCATTGATGGACCTATCCTCCATGAACTTATCTAATTCATTCTTGAACCCCGTTATAGTACTGGCCTTCTCATCGCCTGGCAATGAGTTCCACAAGTTTACTGTGCACTATGTGAAGAAATGCTTCCTTTTTATTTGTTTTAACTTGCTGCCTATTAATTTCATTGGGTGATCCCTGGTTCTTGTGTTATGTGATGGAATAAATACACTTCCTTATTCACTTTCTCCACACCTTTCATGACTTTATAGACCTCTATCATATCTCCCCTTTATCTTTTTTCCAAGCTGTGAACAGTCCCAGTCTTTTTAATCTCTCCTCATATGGAAGCTGTTCCATGCCCTTAATCATTTTTGTTGCCCTTCTCTGTACCTTTTCCAATACCAGTGTCTCTTTTTTGAGATGGGGCGACCAGAACTGCGCGCACTATTCAAGGTGTTGGCATATTGTAGATTCTAGCAGAGCAAGAATTATTCTTTCCTGCACCAGGTAATTTTTGCAGGTTTCAGGAATATGATCATTTAATTAAAAGCTATATCATAATACATACACACAGGGGACTGAATTAAGGTTCTCTTTCAACTGCTTGTCCATAGACATATTCCACTGATAGTGTGCATCTGCCCCATGGGCCCGAGGTTGGAGTCTTTTGGCTAGCAGTGTCCGTTGTGGCCACCCATATACCCTGAGTTCTTCTTTGAGTGCTTGCTCATGTCCGTTCCATGTTAGGTGTGTGTGCTCACCACATGCACCGGTGCAGAAGTTTTTCCCTCAGTGGTATCCGTAGGGGACTGGCTCTGGCGCCCTCTGGAGTGGTGCACATATGCGCCACCGGCTCCCCCTCCCTCAGCTCCTTCTTACTGCCAGTGACTGTGCTGGAACATCTCCTTGCTTTGGCAAGTGCTCTTACTCAGTGGTTCTTCCTGTCATTCATTGTCTAAATAGTTCTTAGATAAGTAGTTCTTTTTGTTCTTTTAATAGTTAGCTAATAGTACTGTAGATAAGTTAGATAGTCCCCTAAGGGACTTAGCCCAGTGACGGGGCATGCCCCAGTTCCCCGGATTCAAGCCTTGTGATGGCTACAAAAAGCCTATGACGATCAGCTTGAAGTGTTTGGCGAAAACCCACATTAGCAACAAGTGTCGCATCTGCAAGAGTTTCAAGCCAAAAACTAAAAAGGAGTGGGAGATAAACCTAAGAGCGCTCCTCATGGAGTCGGCCCTCGTGCCGGTCTCCGGACCACCGAGATCGGACTCCGCACTGAGCACAGCGGCACCTGTTTGAAGTGTGCCGGTGGCACTGGCTTACCGACACCGGTCCCAGTCCTCGGTGTCTGCTAAGAACCAAGGAAGCACACCAGGAGAGGACGTTCCCTGATATCCTGTACTGAAAGGCAAAGTCTGGAGCAGATCATAGGCCCATGCGGGGCAGCATTTGTCCAGAGCCCAACCAGGCACCTGCATAAATGGCTAGGCTACCCTACCCTCCTAGGGACCCACCAGCCACTCCGGGTACTACCGGAGGTCCCATCCACGCTGGAGGCCTTCCAGGCTGCAGAAGACATCATGTCTTTGCCGGTGCCACCAACACCCCGTCAAGACGTAAACATCTCCAGAGGGAAGTTGGCACTGGGGCCCATGCAACAGTCTCCATCCATGCGGCATCACTCCCCAGCACCGCGGCAGTCAACGTCAAATCCCAAGGGATGCACTTCCGACCTGCCTATACCAACCAGAGTTCCCAGCACCGTTCACCGGACTCTTGGCACCGGTCCCACAAGGCATCGCTTGTCCAGTGGCCGGCACAGAGCCGAAGCATGGCACTGGTCGCTGGAGCGTGAGCATCGCTCCTCGGGGACCACGAGACAGGTCCCCAGTGCCAAGACGCAGATCGCCGGACTCATGGCACCAATCCCCGGGGTTGAGGCGGTGTTCTCTGCCATCCCATTCTTGGTCGCCGGACTCCCGACGCTGTTCCCAGAGCTCTAGGTGTCGATCACCGGTGTACTGTCGCCACGCGCCGTCGCTGGTTCCCATACAGGCAGCACCGGGACCCCGAGCCCCGGCATCTGGCCCACAGCTGCAGGCGCGGGGATGGTAGACATGGAGGGGTCGTGGACATAGCGTCGGCACCGCAGTGGTCCCCAAGGCAGGAACTTTCGTCCTCGAGCTCAGAGGCTGAGGAGATAACGGGTCCCTCGGGCCAGGCACACCCAGCCAGATTTGGCCAGGCTCCTCCAGGGCCACCAGCTGGAGCATGGCCCACCCCGTGGCACTTTTGGAACATGTGGGGGTTCTCCCAGGCATCGGAGACCCAGATGCAGCATAGAGGAGGTCGGCGACGGTCTCCTGCCCCACCTCTGGAGTTACAGGAAGGGTCTGAGCAAGGAGCACCCTCAGGCCTCGGTGGAGGCCTCCCATGTGCGGGACGCTGAGCCAGCCCCTCCACCTGCCCTTGCCGCCTCCTCATCCTCACCCAATGAGGCAATGGCGGGACCATCCCAGACAGTGCCACAGGACAATGCCAAGGCACACCAGGAGCTTCTAAAGCGAGGTGGCAAACCTGGGATTGGAAGCAGAGTTGGCGGAACCCTCTGACACACTATTTGACATTCTGGCCACAGTGGCCCTGTCTAGGGTGGCGCTCCCGTTATATGAAGGGGTAGTAAAGCTGGTGGAAGCCTTATGGCAGACCCTGTCCTCTCTCCTGCCTATTTCCAAGCGGGCTGAGAGGAAGTATTATATCCCGGGGAAGGGGTTTGAATATTTATATTCCCACCCGGCACTGAACTCTTCAGTGGTCTCTGTAGCCAATGAGAGGGATAGGCAGGGGCAACCTGGCCCAACTCCCAAAAGCAAAGACTGCTCCCTTCAAGGGCTCAACAGCGGATCACTCTCCGATGCTTTTCTCCTGTCTTGGGCAGGCAACCTGATGTATGCCTTCCCGAGATCCTGCTTATCAGCAGGACCCTCCTGAAAATCAAGAGGGACTGGGACAAAGTCATGAGAGCCCCAGCATGGCCTCACCAGCACTGATTCAGCGCGCCCATGGACACTTCCCAACCGTCCAGACCTGCTCTCTCAGGATCACAGGAGGTCACCTGAACCTCTTCTCTCTCCACCTCACAGCGTGGATGCTGCATGACTGAACCCGGAGGAGCAGGCCTGCTCTACTCAAGTCCAGCGCATTCTGTTGGAGAGTAGAAAACCCTCCACTAGAGCAACTTACCTGGCAAAGTGGAAGTGCTTCTCCTGCTGGGCATTGGAGCGGAGGATCTCCCCGACCCAGTCTTCTCTGCAGTCCATTATGAACTACCTGCTTCACTTGAAACATTAAGGCCTGGCCTTCTCCTCGATCAAGGTGCACCTGGCAGCCGTTTCGGCCTCCCATCCCCGCGTCCAGGGCAGATTAGTATTCTTGCATGAAATGATGATCCGGTTTCTTAAGGGCCTTGAAAAGATTTTTCCGCTGGCCTGGGACCTGGTCTCCCAATGGGACCTCAACCTAGTCCTCTCTAGGCTCACTGGCCCTCCTTTCGAGCCTCTAGCCTCCTGTTCTCTTTCACATTTGTCGTGGAAGTTTGTTTTCCTTGTGGCTATCACTTCAGCGAGTCGAGTCTCTGAGATTAAAGCCCTTACGTTGGAACCTCCGTACATGGTGTTCTACAAGGACAAGGTTCAGTTGCGTCCCCATCCTGCTTTCCTGCCAACGGTGGTGTCACCTTTTCATGTTAACCAAGACATTTTCCTCCCAGTATTCTGCCCAAAGCCTCACTCGTCCAATGAGGAGAGGCGCTTGCACACCCTAGATGTCAAGTGGGCTCTGGCTTTCTACTTAGAGCATGCCAAGCCCTTCTGTAAATCGACTCAACTCTTCATCACAGTGGCTGACAGGATGAAAGGCTGCCTGGTGTCTACTCAAAGGCTTTCATCTTGGATTACTGCCTGCATCTGTATTTGCTACGAGTTGGCGCAGGTTGTACCTCCACCGATAGTGATGGCCCATTCAACTACAGTTCAGGCGTCAGCAGCAGCCTTCCTAGCACAAGTCCCTATCCAGGACATCTGCAGGGCCGTAATGTGGTCGTTGGTACACTCCTTCACGACTCACTACTCCATCACCCAGTTGCCAGAGATGACGCTGGCTTTGGCAGAGCTGTGTTGCAATCGACACCTCCATGAACTCTGACCCGCCTCCGGAGATACTGCTTGGGAGTCTCCTAACATGGAACGGTCATGAGAAAGCACTTGAAGAAAAAAAAATGGTTACTAACCTTCCATAACTGTTGTTCTTTGAGATGTGTTGCTCATGTCCATTTCATGACCCGCCCTCCTTCCCCTCTTTCGGAGTTGCGGCAAGAAGGAACTGAGAGTGGGAGAGCCAGTGGCGCCATATGTGCGCTACTCCAGAGGGCGCCACAGCTGGTCCCCTGTAGATACCAGTGAGGGGAAAACTTTCAGCACTGATTCATGTGGTGAGCAACACATCTCGAACAGTAGTCACGGAAGGTTAGTAACCGTTTTTTCCTTCACGTCTCATGCCAACCACATTAAAAGGGCAGAGTGGACAACTGCCACTCAGTTCCTCTCGCTGGCTCTAGCTTTGAAATGGAACTGCTCCCTTGTCTGTTTTCAGTGTGCTGCTGGCTCTCTGTTCATTCCTTCTGAATGTTGTCCTAATCCCTAGTTCGAGTT